CACATAGATAATAGAAGATTTTAGTTTGTTTCTAGCATAATGATCCCTTATTTGTCTCTTATCAACTCTCCCAAAGCATTTATGTGATGCTTTTAAAGCTATCACAATATTAACTATCGCAAAATATGCGAAGATTGAATTAAGCACACAGACAATTTGGCGAGTTTCATTGAAACAGGTTCATTTAGCCAGCACCACTCATGTCAAACCATTCTCAAGGACGATTCTTTCCAACTTCACTTTGGATAAGAATCCTTAAATCTCAACACCTGGAGTGTCAGTATTATGCATCTACAGCTCAAAATAGAGTTTCAGACGTCAAACGATGATGATGCTCGCTAATGAAGCTTTTTCAATTTCCAATCACACCAAATTATGCCTTCCATTCTTCTACAGTTCTCCCTGCAGAACTTTCTACAATTTTCGTCAGTAGGAAAGGAAACCAAATTGTGTCCACAAATTTAAAGTTAAACACTCCCAGTACTTGGGCCACAGCACACCAGACTTAATTTTTTCGCCACTTTCATCGAACGACCAGATCTTCAGTCAAAAGCTATAAAAGGACCATGATATGCCAGGTAGAAAAACAACAAAATGCAGGAATCAAACACACATTCAGATTTAATCCGACATCTGTTGCATCACAAATTTGATCTGCAATACCATCCATTGGCCACTCAGCCACACATTTTTCAAAAAAAAAAATAAATAAATAAAGAATAATAGCGAAAATGTAGTTAAAAGAAAAGAAAAAGTATACATATCCCTCAGAAATGCCTAGTATCCACCTTGCACAAATCGATAAGTAAATGGTCCCTCAACCTCCTGCAAACAGAACTCGCAAAGAGGGAGCCCCATTTTATCTATTTATGCTCACTTTTCAGATTACTAAATTTTTCATCCAGGGGACACATTTTCAAATTCGCATAAAATGGCAATTTAGATAAACTACCAACAAAATATGAACTCAGCTCGAATACGCACACTACATCACAACCATTTTTCACAGACAAAATTGAGACTTGGTAACAAAGTGAAAGTTCGGCAATGTCATGGGCCATTACTTACCAAAAACCACAAAATAGTAACAAAACGCAGGAATAAAATACCAAAGTAGCACATACCATAGTACAGACAGACCAAGAGAGAGGGAGTACCATTTCTATGGCAGCGACTGAAGAATGGGGCTCAATGAAGGCTCCATTTAGGGTTCATGAGTTTATTTAATTTAATTATTTAATAAAAAAGGAAGGGAAATGGTGATTGGTGAGCATAGTTTTTAAACCCGGCAACCCGGCAGGTATTCGAGCCACCGGTTCATCGGTTCAATCGTCGGATCACAGGCAAATTGTTGAACCGAATAATTAATTTTAAAATTTCTAAAATTAAATATAAGATATTTTGTCAGATAAATATACATAAAAGTTAAAAAAAATTAAATGTTTTATATATAAAATTTGTGTATTAGTATTTTTTTAAAGTGTTAATAATATGTATTTCATTATAAATACCATATAAATATATATACATAGTTTTATTTGTTAAAAACAGAAAATATTTTAAAAAATAAAAAAAAAAAATAAAAAAATTTATAAAGGCCGGGTCAATGCCTCAGGTCGACCGGGTCAAGGTCGGGTTGGTCGGGTTTTGATCGGGTTTGACCGGGTCCTTTGTTGCCCGGTCCGAATGACCCACCCGAACCGGTTCCGGCTCCGGGTCGACCTGCTGTGCTGGTCCGAGTTGAAAAACTATGATGGTGAGGCCTCTGTATTACCATGTCACCGGTTCGACTGTCGGGTCTTTAGGTCAATAAATGAATAAGATAATTAATTTAAAATTTTTATAAATTACATAATGTAGTATTTTTAGTATATAAATATACATAAAAGTAACTAAATAAATATTTTGTATATCAAAATAGTAATAGTATTGTATCAAATAATAAATATTGAAAAATGCTACAGTACATAATAAATGTACATAGAGGTGTACATAATAGGGGTGGGATTTTAAAACCGGGAACCGCAAAACTGAACTGGACCGAACCGATAAAAACCGGTTCGGTTCGGTTATTGTTTAATATGTAACGAATTTACCGGTTCGGTTTTTTATCCTTCTTTTTCGGTTCCGATTTTTGGTTCTTTTTTCCAAGATTATTAAAAAACCGAAGAACCTAAATGATATAAGTTGAATTGACAAGGCCCATTCAACCATTTGTTCATGAAGAGCACTTAGGCCCAATCAGCCCAAATATTTATATTTTGGTGTCAAATGATTATATCTTTTTCTTTTTTTTCACCCTACGCGGCATGTGTAATCCTATCAGATGAAATTACACAAATTATCCTAAACCATAAACTCAAACTCAAATATAAATAAGAAAAAAAAAAAACAAACCCTAATTCTATTTCTTTGCCCAGGCGCATGTAAACGTTTTCAATTTCTCTGTCGAACTGTAATCCGATTCCAATAAAACACTTCTTGCAACCCGTCGCCGCCTTGTCCCCTAACATCAATTCGACCTAATCTTCTTTCTTATATTTTTCGAGACTGAGAGCTAAAGTGGATCTGCAGATTCATCCCCTCGCCCGCTTCTTGGTTTCCCTCCACCGTCTACCGCTCGCAACCTGCCGTCGTTGGCCGGCGAGACTCATAGACACAGATCCATAGTGGATCTGCAGTTTCAATGAGAGAAATGAAAGGTTTGTAAAAATTAATGAACCCATTAACATAAGAGGGCATGACGAAGTTTGGTGGGTATGTGAATTTGAGAATCTGTTTGATATGTTTGAGTGTGCGAATGTATTTTTTATTTTGTTAATTAGTTTTGATTACATTATATCGGGTTTTAAAGCTTCAGTAGAACTGTATTTGTTACTTTTGGTTTTTTCCGTTCATAAAAAAGTTACGATCGGTTTATAAAATAACCGATGGGCCGAACCGGTTTTACATGGTTCGGTTCTCAAACGGTTCCTTAAAATTTTGTCACACTAACTGAACCGAAAATATCTCAAACGGTTCTTCAAAATTTATATAAGAACCGGACTGGTCCCACCCCTAGTACATAACACTCACATGAAGTGGGGTCCACTTGATTTTTTATTTTTGGTCGGTCCCACTCAATATGGTCTTATGTACACCCCTATGTACAATATTATGTACCTATAGCATTTTTCATAAATATTTACCATATAAATATATATACATAGTTTTTTTTTTCTAAATTAAAATTATTTAAAAAAAAAAAACTAAAAAGTAAAAAAAAAAATATAATGATCGGGTTAAACCGTATTGACACAGTGGGGTCAATGCCCGGGGTTGACCGGGTATGTTGTCACTCGATCTGAATCGCCACCCGGACTGGTCTCGAATCCGAGTTGACCCTTCAGGCCACTCCGAATTGGAAAACTTTGGCTTGAACTGACAATGATTATTTTTATTATTATTATTTGAACGTAACGAAAAAAATGTTTGGACAGTGAATGGATGTGACTAATTAAAATAACTTCCAATTATTGGTTGTGTCCACAACAATTAGCACGTGGCCAGTGCGATGCACGAGGAAATAATACTACGATTATGTTATAAATTAAATATAAATAACATGCTTGATACTCAACTCCGCATGTGAGCTTTACTTACGATGTAAACCGACTTCTTTATTGGAACAACTGGACTGCAAGGACTACCAAATCCCATCTGTCCGCCTGTACTGGAGATATTACCAGTTGCCGCGAATACCGATCTTTCGAAACAGAAAATAACAAAGAAAAAAGCTCGTACAACTAAGTTAGCCGAACCCAAGCCTAGCGTCTAGAGGAGTCAGTTAGCCATAGGGGAGGAAGATAGAAAGGTAAGCTATTTAAGCGCTCTACCTTAGGCTTTTGAGTTTTTTAGCCAGGTCTGAGTCCTAACCCAGCGGCTTCTAAATTACATCTATCCTAACCTAATATGCCGTAATCTGATCTCAAATCATTATTTATCCATTGTTTTAAAAATTGTATTGGACCGGACATTCTGACAAGTTAGACTAGGAACCAGTTTATCGACCGGTCTGGTTCGCCCGAACTGGTAGGATCGATACAATTTTCTAAATAAATTTTTTTACATTTAAAATTTATTTTGTTATAAATAAAATA